CAACTTTTATAATTCACATTTATTTATAACTCTTAAACAAAAAAGTTAAAGGGGGGTCAAAATATAGTGAAGCACCCTGTACGTATCTTAGAAAAAATACAACTAATCATATCCTAAACTGGAATGAACAGAAACATGTCGTAACAGTATGCCGTTTACAGGTATCTTGATACACAAAATGACAAATATAAAATTGATATTTGAGATGGCCGATTTATGATGACGTAGTTAGGGGGGAAGATTCTAGCCAATAAATTGTAAAAGAAACATTGTAAAAATAAGACGAAGTTCAAGAATATTTATTTTATTTCTGTAAATTCTTACAGACATTACGCATAGCTTCTAACTACGCAATTATCTATTTTAACCGAAAAATTTCCAAAAAAATGATTCTTTTCACTAAATTAAATGAAAAATTTACAGGACATGGCATTTTGCTTAAAAATTACATATACCTCCATTTTTTGCAGTGTGTAACGCACAACCTATGTAATTACTATTATTCAAAATGCAGGTTACTACATAAATAAATTATTTTCACTTTGACAATTTATTTCCGTAAAAGCTGATTTACATTGACAATTTATTGATCAATTAATTGATGAAGTCGCTTCATCAATAAATTGGACAAGTGTAATGCACCAAATCAGCTGTCAAATAACTTCATCAATTTTCATCAAGTTCTTGACGAATTAGAGCATGTTCTAATTTTCGTCAATTTCTTCGTGAAGTTCGGAAGTACCAACCCAACAGATTTCCAGACTCAGATCAGTAATGAGTTTATGTTATTGGAATATGTAAATAATTGTGTGAAGTCATACTAGTTTTGCATTGTTTTTACTGATTTGTTACTTACAAACACTAATATTCATATATGTGTCAAAACGTACTGCTGTTGTGTCACTACAATTATGAGTGGAAAGGTGACATTTTTGAAATTTATTTGCTTCTTTGATTCATTGGTAGAACTGATTCATACGTCAAAAAACTTGACAAAGTCTGTGGCAGTGTAAAACCACACTGTTTACCAATAAATTCGCGAATTAATTGATAAAGAACTTCGTCAATTTATTGATGAATAAATTGTCAATGTAAAACAGCTTTAAGACATGTAGGCTATTGATTATATCCAAAGAACAGGGTTAAAAGGAACTATAGCGTTCAAGCAATTTTATTGCAAGAATCGTTCAAAGGGTAATTTTAGATGAAAAAACCGCAGAGTGGTATTAAATTAGAGATTCAGATTTTTAATTATAGCTTGAAAACGAAGCAAAATTTCGCTATAGTTCATAGGAAAAATCATTTAGAGAATTGAATTTCCCATCGATATGACTTATTTGAATGATTTAAAAATTCTATGCAAAAAATTGTTACTAAAAACAATTTGAGAAAAGCAAAAAATTCGATTATCTATTTTTTTTTACTTTTTAGCCTCTAGTTTTTTTTTTGAGTAAAGATAAGTATAGGCATTGCTTCATAAGAAAAAGTTGAATTTTTTTCAAAAAAAAAGGAAGGATTCGTTCAAGGATTTTCATCACATGACTTGTTTGAAGGGTCATTTAAAATGAAAAAGACCGCGGGGTGCTATTAAATTAGAGGGTTGAAATTGAAGATAGGGGTGAAAATGTACATTTGCAGTTTTTTAAATATACCACGAAAACGAAGCAAAACTTTTGTAGAGAATTGAATTTTCCATCGAAACGGCTTATTTAAAAATTTACAAGACAAATTTTATGCAAAAAATCGTTAATAAACAATTTTAAAAAAGTAAAAAATAAGATTTTCTGATTTTTTAAATTTTTTTGACTCCAATTTTTTTTAGTAAAAGTAGCAAAGAAAATTGCTGTACAAAAAAACTAGATGAGATTCCCTTTAAAATGATGCGTTTTCAAAAGTTTTTGAACTAATATTGACTGAGTTATAACCGGTCAAACTTGAATATTTTTTAGATTTTCGTCGTTTTTAACATAAATTAGAATCAAAAAAGTAAAAAAAATAAAAAATCTTATTTCTGCTTTTTTAAAAAAACATTTTTTTTTTCAAATATTTTAAATAATCCATTTCGATGGGAAATTCAATTCTCTACATAATTTTTCCTATGAACTATAGCGAAATTTTGCTTCAATTTCGAGCTACCATTAAAAAACTGAAAGAAGTGCATTTTCACACCTATCTCCAATTTCTACCCTCTAATTTAATAGCACTCCGCGATTTTTTCATCTAAAAGGACCGTTTTAATGATTCATGTAATAAAATATCTTAAACGTCATAGTTCCTTTTCAAATCCCATAATCAATAGCCCAATTTGTGCGGAAAGAGAAACGATAGTGTTTTGGGAACTCACAACTGCCTGTGTTCAAAGATTTTGTTCAATTGCTACATTTTACAAAATTGTGAGGCACAGAATAATACTCAAAACGAATTATAGCGGCCACTGAAAGAAACAAATCGTAATACATATAAATTTAGCATGAATATTATCGTAATCGATCAATTTATTCCAAATTCTTGGACTTTTATCCGCGCTTTCAGTACAAAGCATATCTTTAAATACGATAAATTGCACAGTCTCGATACTCAACCGAAAACAAAGCCGAGAGGCCCACAAAAAATTACGCTTATCCATCACCGTGACGAAATTACATCTCAATACAAATATTCCTAGATATCATTTACTTCGGAATAATAATATTCAATAGACTGTGCCCACGGCGACCTATTTCTCGAAATGTATTGTAATTCTTGTAAATTAGGGTTAATTTCCGACAGATCCCCGCCCCTGTTGCCCACGCAGATGCCCGGTCAGCGTTTTAGATAAACTGGAATTAAGTTCTTGTAAAATAAGTTTTATTACATGCAATTTTTTCCGAGGTCTCGCTGGGAATGCTAATGTCAGGGATTACCTTAATTTCTGCCGTAAGAACGGTGATCGGCCGCTTATCTGCAAAAAAATGGTAAGAAAATTTCGCCGACCTACATACTGGAGCACGTATGGTCGTGTAATTAGCGACCACGTACTTTTAGAAAGAAGGTACAGTCGGCGCAGTAGAAATCGGGACAAGCGGTGTTACGTTATTGGTACGGAGCTGTAGTCCGCAGAGTAGTTGTGGGATTATGTCACATTAATGAGGTAAAGTAAGAATACTTGAATGGTTTAAAGATGGATGGTCACTATACGCGGAAGCGGAGACAAGAATACCTTTAATAATAATTACAAACAATAAAAAAATTTAATTATTTATTTCCGACAGGTTTAATTTGCTATTACAGGAAATTTTTTAAATGCAATTGAAAATCTTTTACTGAAATCAAGGCACTGCCTATTATGTACTTCTTGGAGTCCTTAGGAATATCGTAATACTGCGAGATATCGAAAAAGAAATTATACAGGGTGATTCTTAAGTAGAGGTCAAAAATCCAGGGACGTATTCTGTGGCAAAAATAAGGGTTTTTTGTTATTAAACGTGGGGTCTTAGGACAACCATTGTCCAGCTACAGCGTATCAAAAATTAAAAAATAAATCAGTTTTTAATTTTTAATTTCTAAACCGCTTGAAATAATTTAAACAAATTCGGTGTGCATATTTAGTATGACAATAAGTATGAAAAAAATTACTACCTTTAGAAACTTACCAGTGGCGAAGGTGTGGATCATTATTTGCCAAAAAAAAATATATCAAAAAATTGATATAAATAAAATAGGTGCGCCATTATATTATCTTCACTTTTTGTTTCTTTACACTTTTTTGTATTCCAAACCGATTGACAACAAAATTGATCTATTTGATCAACTGCATTTTTACGATACATTACATTACGTAAAATAATAACAAAATAATTAATTATCAATGGAATTACTTTACTATGCTTTCTTATAACAAATGTTGGGAATGGCCACCTTCAGCCAAAATGCATGCTTCAGATTTTCTTGAAATTGTAGCTCGAACACAAACATTCCAGGAGTAGCTCTTATCACTTCGCAACCAGCTATAATTTGTTGACGTAAGTGTTCCTCAGATTCAATGTAAACTAATCTCTTGAGATGTCCCCAAACAAAAAAATCAATAGGATTCATATCGGGTGGTCTGGGTGGCCAAGGTTGACCTGATTTTTGAGTGCCTCGTCCAATCACGTTATTACCGAATTTTTCGGTACCCACACCTCCGCCACTGGAAGGTTTCTAAAGCTGGTAATTTTTTGTTTCATATTTACTGTCATCCTAAATATGCACACTGAATTGGTTAAATTATCTCAAGCGGTTTAGTAATTCAAAATTAAGAACATATTTTTTTTTTAATTTTTGACACGTACTTGTTGTTTAATATACAATAATTGTTTTTTTATCATAATTTTTTATCATAATATCAATAATTTTTTATCATGTTTTATTGGTATTCTTCAAAATAGTCGATATAAAACTATCGATAATAATATTCATTCATAAATTTAAAGACCATGAACTCATTTCGGCCAATAATATAACTCGTTTTATAAAATTTAATCCCATTACAGCATATATGATGTTTTTCTACAATTACTCATCATACCTCTTGTAAATCACCCGGTAGACCATCCTCGCAACATTTAACATCAATCCGAGTCAAAGAAAAACATTGAATGCCTGTGCATAATTAGATTTACTTTAATTACCGTTTTTATAAATAGATATTTACAAAACTCCTCGAACACAATGTGAATTTGCAGGTTTATTACTAGTTTTTTCTACATCCACTGCAGCGTAGCGAGATTACTATTTGTACACATAATTACCCAAGAAATAATTAGTTTCTTTCTTCTCAATGGGATACATCCACAACAGACGTAATCTTCTTCTTACCTACATAGTAGAGTTAATAGAGAATATTTGTTTCGTGGTTTTTGTTGAAAATGGACTACTGAATAGCATACAAGACCTTCTGACCTGTGCCTTATTGAGATTTTCTTTTACACATTGAGATATCCAACAAATCTTTTATTCTTAACAAGTCTCTTTTTTTTCAGGACCCAACTCTTCATGCGACGAAAGCGACACAGAATCAGAACCTGGCATTCCTCTGAAGAGGAAACAACGCCGTTCAAGAACCACCTTCACAGGGGAGCAGCTGGAGGCCTTAGAACGCGCTTTCAGTCGTACCCAATACCCCGATGTCTACACTCGCGAAGAACTAGCTCAGAAAACCAAACTAACTGAAGCACGCGTTCAAGTCTGGTTCTCCAATAGAAGAGCTCGTTTACGCAAACAACTGAACTCCCAACAACTTAACGCCTTCAACACCATGTCCCTCCAAACCGCTTTTCCAGTGCAACAGCACTACACCGATCCAACTTTCAACCAGAGCACCTGGGCGCAACAGACCTACGCCAGTGCTGCTGCTCTGGGCACCACACCTTCCTTAGCTGGTGCTCTACCTTCCAGTGCCCTTCCCAGCTCGTGCTTACCGCATTCTCTTTCGTCCAGCACTAGTTCCACCTTGGGTAGTACCACCAACACCACGTCTACTCCCGGTAGCCAGAATGCTTTGTACAATTCTTATGGAGGTGGTACCAGTCTGGAACATAACGGCGTGAATCAGTTTGGGTACAACATGGCGCAAGTGTCGCCGAACCAGCACAGCGTATCGCCCCAGCAGAGCGCAGTGTGGGCCAGGCATGCTCAGGGCAATAAGGTGGCTGAGAATCTTAGTGCTTCATGGCATGAAAATTACAGGTAAGAGCAAATGTTTCTGATGCAGGGGGTCTGGAAAGTACGTGGACAACGTAAGGTCAGATATTTCTTGGCTCTCAGTTGGTCAATTTGATATGTTGTAGCCTTTTCAATGTGGTACCACGAAGAAAAAGAAATATTCAGTCTTAAATGTAATGGGATTCAAGATGTTCTATAGCTTTTTTAGGTATATAATAAATAAATATTTGCAGAAAGTTTATATGAATGTGCTCCCTAAATTTCAATCCAGGGATCCTACCACGTTTTAGTGACATGAAACAATTTGTGTTTGAAGACAATACTTAAACCAATTAAAGAAGCTTTGGAACAACTTTATCGAATCTTAGAAGGCAAGGAAAAAAAGAAGAGAACTATGGACCTGTGGATCTTATTTTCCTTTAAGAGTCAGTTTTATGAACAAAATGAAGGAGCAACCATGAGTTCACCTTTACCCTCGGTCTTGGTAATCCTTTAAGAGGAAGGCCCTGGAATTAGCAGCAACATAGATGGTGAGCAAGCGCCATCTATGAAATGGACCCCTGGACGAGGAACTATATCATCAAGGATTAACTCTCAGGGGATGAAATGGAATAGAATGGGAAATAGAAGAAACATTCAACGAGTCGCCAGAAAGATAAAAACGAAGACTATCTATCTCCTCTATATTCAGTGTGTATCAGCCAAATGGAATAAATTCAACAATAAATAAATGGGGGCGTGTTCGAAAAAAACGCTCGGATACCGATTGGTATTTTTTTCAACAAAAACTTTGTATACAGGGTGTGTCATGTAACAGTAATCAATACCAACTTTCTTATTTTAAATGCAACACCCTGTATATTATTCAATACTTGGATTCAGATTCAGAAAATTCTAGACATATTTCATGTACAATATCCTATACCTATCTTCAACTGTTTCGGAAATACTAAGTGTTTTCAGATTTATTGCAAAAATTAACATAAAAAAAAGAAAATTATTTGGTTACAGAAATTCGCTATAATACTTATTCGCTCAATACTTATTTCCCATTTATCTCTTGATAATGTGAAAGTAAGCAAAAATCATTTCAGCGTTGTGTAAATAAAAAAAAACTACTATAAATAGTTTTGTTTACTTTTGATTAAAACGCCTGGCCTTAGCAACGTGGTGTCTGCCTACATGACAGTAGTTATCAGTGTTATAGTCGTTTGAATTTCATTAACTGCATATCAGAAAAATGGTTCATTTAACAGAAATGCACAAAGTAACAATTCTACAGATGATTGGTTATGGAGATCACACACAGACACAAATGGAAGTTGCTCGCTTATTTCATGAAAGATTTCCAAATTTGTCGCCTATATCCCAAGGAAGAATTAGTAAAATAGAAAAGCAGTTTCGCGAGCTTGATCATGTAAGGCAGATAAAAAAGCAGCTGCCAATGCAATAAGTGATGATAACAAATTGGATATCATGCTTGAGTTTGAGGAAAACCCACATACAAAAGCAGCCCCAATGTTCGATATTAGCCATTAATCGATTATTCGAATATTAAAAGAATGTAAAATGCATCCCTATAAAATGAAACCAACTCAGGAGCTCATGGAAGACGATTTTGGCAAACTTATATCCTGATCCAGCAGACCCACAAGTTCCAGCGAATATGATATGGCTTCACCAAGATGGAGCACCGCACCAAATCATTGCCAGACAGTACCTCAACCGAATATTTCCAAATCGATGGATAGGGACGCAAGGATCGATGGAATGGCCAGCACAATCCCCTGATCTGTCACCATTAGACTTCTTCTTATGGGAATATGTCAAAAGTATTGTATACAAAACTAAACCCCTCGACTTCGCTGACTTAAGAAGACGAATAACACTTGCGATTAAATCGGTCACGCCTGAGATGTTGAGTAACGTTAAACGAATTCTATTTAAAATTAGGATGTTGCCAAGACGTTCACGGCGAGCATTTTGAACGACTACATTGGCATTAATGTTTTTTTTTTGCTTTTTTACATTATCAATAAATAAACAGTATTACTTATTAGTTTTTGAGTGTGTCGTGGCGAATTTCTGTAATCAAATAATTTTCTTTCTTTAATGTTAATTTTTGAAATAAATCTGAAAACACTTAAAAATATATTTCCGAAACAGTTGAAGGTAGGTGTAGGGCATTGTACATGAAATATGTCTAGAATTTTCTGAAGAATCTAAAAATTGAATAATATACAGACAGGGTGTTGCATTTAAAATAAGAAAGTTGGTATTCACCACTGTTACATGACACGCCCTGTATAAAAAGTTTTTATTAAAAAAAATGTAAAAACTAAAAATACCAATCGACGTGTCCGAGCGTTTTATCGAACACGCCCACATTTGTTTATTATTGAATTTATTCCAATTGGCTGATACACACTGTATATATAAGGAAGTAATGACGAGACAGCACTTCAAGGGAGATTAGAGCAGTATTTCTCAGGACGAACAAGATCCTGGTGCACAGGCAACAAACCAAAAACACGATAGGTTAAAGAAATTTAAGTGTCACTTAAAGAACAACAACTCAACAATTAGTAATTATTGCAAAACACAGGGCAGTTTCATTTCACTTTAAATATCATTGAAAATTATTTCAAATAGGCTTTTGGTCTTCGTCGTTTTTGCTATTCCAATCATTTTGTCTCTATTTCTTCTAAATTTCTTATATTTTTTGGCGATATTAAAAAACAGTGGTTAACCATAAACCAAACTAAAAAAGATAAATTAATTAAACAAAAAATTTTATTAAAAAAAAAGTAATAAATAAATTAAAATTATTAATTATACATTCCAGAAATTCTTTATCTTTGTTATGTAGGTCAGGAAAAAAGCTGGGAAATGACCATTTCGCGACTTTTTGTTTCGGCAAGCTGAATTTATCACTATAGATGCTAAATATTATGTACAATAACATATTAGGTTCCACAGTCATAAAAATGAGGGGAAGATTGTTTGCAGTGTGGTTAATTGTATAATTTTTACGTAAATTCACGTTTTTCGCTTATAACTTTTTTCCGTTCATTTCCACGAGAAAACAGTAACACACTTTTTTTTTGGCTTCAAAAGACCTACAAAACTAGCTCTCGAGCGTCAAAAAATATTGATTAGATTAAAAGTTATAAACAGAAGATATTTATTTATGACTTTTAAATTAAACATTTATAAACTGCGTTTTTAGTACCAGAACGTTTTGTCATCGCATCCTCTCATTCCTTATCACTGACGAATAACTCACACGAAATCTGGATTCGGTAAGTTGAATAGTTTACAAGTTATGGCCTTATAAACAAATTAAGCTCTTTTCATAAGCTTTCCGAATATGTAATAATATATAACTATATCACGCTCGTGCGTCGTATATTTTGCATTTTGCAACTAAGTCTAAAAAATAAAAAAATTTCCAAGCTGCAAATTTGAAATAAAAAAAATGATAGATTTCAATGTATTACTATGAAATCTACCATGAAAAAAATCAGTGCGATTGTGGAAGATCCTCGGGACCCTCCAGACTAATAATTAGTTAATTTGTTTATAAGGCCATAACTTGTAAACTATTCAACTTACCGATTCCAGACTTCGTGTGAGTTATTAGAAAGTGATAAGGAATGAGAAGATGCGATGCCAAAACGTTCTGGTAATAATAACGCAGTGAAAAACGTGAATTTACTTAAAAATTATACAATTAACCAGCCTGTAAACAATCCCCCCCCCATTTTTATGACTGTGGAAACTAGTATGTTATGGTGCATAATATTTAGCATCTATAGTGATAAATTCAGCTTGCCGAAACAAAAAGTCGCGTTCAACTATATGTTTTCTGGACTAATGGTTGAACAGAATGTCAGGGTTAGGTATTGTTGGAACCAATAATTTAAAATTGAATGACACGAAGACTCAAACAATATGTTTTACCGCTGATAAATAAACAGCTGATTCAACAACAGTAAACTTTCTGGGAATGTCTGAAATTTTTTGTTTTCTTTGCGTCGATTGAAGTATGTGACAACTTCGCTAGAGTGTTTCTAATATATTTGATCTTAATATACTCTTTAATTTAATTATGTCATTTTTGTTCGATTCTATTTTACTATTTCCCATCCACAATCATTTATTTCATTGCTTCACTGACCTCTAGCGCGTTTCGAATGCGCTGCGTCGCAATAATTGTCGCATATCCCATCGAGTCGGTTTCTCGGGCTGACTTTCGAACGCGCTGATCGTTTTTTACGCAAAAATGTCCGAGCAAATAGAAGGGGCACCGCAGTCGATTATTAAATAATTAATTGCCGGGAATTATGAGCGGATCCAGGGTCACATTAAGACGAAATAACACGACCAGGGCACTCATTAGTCGGAATTAATCGCACTCGGATGTTATTCAGATGCTGGACAACCGGCAATTACACAGCGGAGCAGATCCCGCGTCCGACGGCAGGCCGGCCGATACCGGCTCGGTCTTCTCCTGGCCGACTGGGTGGAAGGCTTGTCATTGGAATAAATTCCAGATGGTACTACCACGGTACGCAATCATTGAATGCTTAAACTGAGATCGTGCTAAGCCAAATTACATGGTGTTACTTAATGGGCGACGGTGCCGCTCTCTATTTACGTCTAAGAGCGTCGCTACTGCCATGAATTATTGTTTGGGCTCCGTGTGATTAATATTGTCGGATGATGGGGTACTTGGGAACTTTTAAGGAGCAGCAGGCTGTGGGAAATCAGAGATGAGTGTAAATCTGGTTAGTAGCCATGAAGGGCGTCGAAATACTGATAGGGCTTCCCCTTTTTCAGAACTATGCATCTATGCTTTCTGACCTTGAATCTATGTTAATAGGGATCATAATCGGGTTGTTGAAGATGGTGATCATCATCCCTCATCGACGCGTTACTACGAAATTAAGCTTGGAAAACATCAGATCTATAAGAAAAAACATGATATAAAATTAAATTTGACTAAAAATTTACGTTGGCTACATTGGCGTTGAAATGCATATTGAATGAATGAAACCGTGCACTTATAATTGACTGTACAGGGTGTCCGGTAAGTACCTCCTAATCTCTCGGGAGTGTATAGGGGAGGTCAAAATAAAACTAATCCTTCCTATAATTTTTTTTCCTAATGTGCCCCCTAACGGAGTTATGGGGGGTCAAAGGGGTACCTAGAAATTAACGTTTAGGGTTATAACTTTGAAACCACCCTGTATATTTTAATAAAATTTTCGTACGTTGTATTACACATGGAGCTCTACGATTTGATGCTAAAATCAACTTTTTGCTATTATCAGGTGTCCAGAAACGGACTGGCCCTATCACAATTTTTCTCAAAATTTTGACAGAAGTAATTTTATCAAACTGAAAATATTATTATTAGATACTCTGAAGGTTTTTCTTTAAAAATGGTACTCTTTATTTATTTCGAAAAAATGAACGGTTTGCGAGATAAATCGGTTTTGAAAAAAATTGGTAACAAATACAACAACAATTAAAATTTATTTTTTTACAATAAAATCATTCCCGCTAGTGCCAGCCTACAGATTCACCATAAACATTTACTGGTGGTGAATTAAGGGAATGAATAATGCCGTTTCTTGTAAAATCAACATCTATGACCAAAATACATCTACAAATTATTATTGCTCTTGTCTCCATGGAGTTCTTTTCTATTGTTTTCGTTGTTAGACCCTGTTGATTTTAAAGTACTTGTCAAAGGCGCGTGACAGAATAAAAATTCAATTTTATTGTGGTATTCGTTTTAAGCCGTTAGAAATAACATTTAAAAATGGAAGAATATTCCTGTGCAGAATATGCTGATATGCACCTAATTTATGGGGAAGCATTATGCAACTCCGTGGAGGCAAGAAGACTTTATGAGGAAAGGTTTCCGGGTCGACATTTGCCGAGTCCAAAAACTTTTGAAAGAGTTGATCGTAGTTTAAGAGAAACAGGTAAAAAAAAATAGTGAAAAACGTTAGTGAAACTAATTTCTTCCGAATCCTTTATTTAGGAAGCTTTTTGCCACGCCGTGGTGGAGCAGGAGCCCCGAGGAGAGTACGAGACCCTCATGTAGAGGAACAAATATTGGAAGACGTTGCTAATAATCCTTCAAATAGCATAAGGAAGCTTGCGGCGCAAAACAATGTTACAAAATGGGCTGTACATGAAACTCTGAAAGAACAATTGCTTTACCCGTACCACATCCAAAAAGTACATGCTATGTCTCCAGATGATTATCCAAAAAGACTTCAATACGCCAATTGGTTTTTACAGCATCATATTCGGAATCATAATTTTGGTACATCTATTTTGTTCACCGATGAAGCAGGTTTTACAAGAGACGGCATAATTAATTCGCATAATCTACATGTCTGGGATGAAGAAAACCCTCACGCTTTAGTTCAAACTCGCTACCAACAAAGGTTTATGGTGAATGTGTGGGCTGGCATTATCGGGAATCATTTGATTGGTCCATTTATTCTGGAGCAAAGACTTAATGGTGCTCTTTATTTGCAATTTTTAGAGGAAAATCTAAATATTTTGTTAGAAGAAGTGCCCCTTCAAATAAGAACTGAAATGTGGTACATGCATGACGGTGCACCACCCCACTTTGATCGTTTAGTACGTCAACATCTGACGAATGTTTTTGGTGATCGATGGATAGGTCGAGGCGGACCTGTATTATGGCCACCTAGGTCGCCCGACCTAAACCCATTAGACTTTTTTCTGTGGGGTCATTTAAAAAATAACGTTTATTCAACACCCGTAAATAGTAGAGAGGAACTTCTGCTGAGGCTAACACAGAACTGTGACCATCTCCGCAATAATCACGGAATATTATTTCAAGTGCACCGGGAAAACATTCGTAGGATTAGAAAGTGCATTGAAGTACGGGGTGCTCATTTTGAACATCTACCGAAGTAACATTTAGGTACCTTTGTTCATTGTTGAATGTTCTTTGTTGCATGTCTTGTAAGTAAGTTATTTTTCAAATGTTATTTTTAATTGGTCACTACTTGCTCATAAAGTATAGCCAACCCGTTCAAAGATTTCTGGACTTGATAAAGTTAAAGAAATTAAATGCATGAAATAATATGTAAAAAAAATAAATTTTAATTGTTGTTTTTGTTACCAATTTTTTTCAAAACCGATTTATCTCGCAAACCGTTCATTTTTTCGAAATAAATAAAGAGTACCATTTTTAAAGAAAAACCTTCAGAGTATCTAATAATAATATTTTCAGTTTGATAAAATTACTTCTGTCAAAATTTTGAGAAAAATTGTGATAGGGCCAGTCCGTTTCTGGACACCTGATAATAGCAAAAAGTTGATTTTAGCATCAAATCGTAGAGCTCCATGTGTAATACAACGTACGAAAATTTTATTAAAATATACAGGGTGGTTTCAAAGTTATAACCCTAAACGTTAATTTCTAGGTACCCCTTTGACCCCCCATAACTCCGTTAGGGGGCACATTAGGAAAAAAAATTATAGGAAGGACTAGTTTTATTTTGACCTCCCCTATACACTCCCGAGAGATTAGGAGGACACCCTGTATATTTTTCAAAAAGTAATTAATATTTACGTTCGGGTACACTGTTTATTTTATTTTTTTTATTCAAAATTTTTCAATTAATTTTGTAAAATTACTGTTATAAACGACAAAATTGTTAATAAAAAAAAATATAATAATATGCAGTACGCTGCAACACGTACTTCACTCGACGTTTTTTGAAATAACAAATTATAAAAAATAGTGTATACCTTAATATACAGGGTGTTTCAGGATTAAGTCGACAAACTTTAAGGAGATATTCCTCATAAAAAAATAAAAAAAAAATCAAGTATAATTTTTTTTCCAGAGACGCTTTATTTTCGAAATATAGGGCGTTAAAGATTTTTAAAAAAATTCGAATTTTTTAAATAATTTCTAAATGAAGAAGATTATTTCAGCCAAATTAGGCATGACACATCTTCTTATAAGATACCATTTTTCCATAGAAGTAGAAATCCCGCAAGCAATCAGTGGCGAAGTTATGGGAACTCAGACTCATTAAATTATAAAAAAAAATTAATACAGCCCTACTGAAAATAAAAAATTATGCTGTTTTTAGATAGAACAGTTTGTTATTGACAAAAAGTGTACTCGCTTTTTTCCTAATTCTTATAGTTTCATGGCAAAATTGATTTTTCGGAAGGGTGCTTCTGGATTCTGTCGGACTTCTACTTCTACGGAAAAATGGTATCTTATAAGATGTGTCATGCCAAATTTGGCTTAAATAGCCTTCTTCAATTGGAAGTTTTTGAACTTTTCTCATATTACCATTAGGACTCATTAAAACAAACAAATTAATATCAGAAAGTTTAGGAAATGTAACACCACGGAACACCATTGAACATCATGGAACACCATGGAACACCATAGAACACAATAGACCACATTTTAAAGGGAACGGAAAATAACTGAAATCCCCGTCCGTAAATCACACTTGTGCCACCGTGTACATCAATTAACAGTAAAACTAGAATTTATTCAGCCGCGGCCATGTTTCCGCAATTATTTTGACAAGGGAAAGCTGCAACGCTCTGAGTTATGATTAATACATCTAGGCATTAACAATGGTTGGCTTTCTTGTTGCCACCAATAAAGATAAGTTGTTCTTGCTGGCCAGCACATATCAACAGGCATTAATTCCTGTTTTATCTGCTTTTCGTGTCCAATCATAAGCGGGCGAAAAAACGGCCGGTTCTCGGAACGTCGACGCAACTACCTTTCAAATGCAATAATGATAAAGTCTTTGTTGATTGTGCAAGTTACAATACAACTGGCAATTCCGATTATTTTTTACGCGTGGTTTTAAGATGTGAGTACAAAGGCCCAAATCGAGATTCCCAAACTTGCCTCTTGCTAAGCCAAATTCGCAGTAACATGGTTAGGGTTAAAAATATCTCAGAGTAAAAGGGACGCTTAGTGCATACAGGGCGATTCACAAATGGCAATCAAAAATGAAATCTCGTGTTCTTTGGTGAATTTTAAAGGGAATCTTTCTTATAAAGTTTTTACCTAGGACGTTTCGTTAAAGAGATACTTACAGGGTGTTAAACTTCAAAAAACATTTTTAATTTTTTTAAATAATGTAAGAACTAGTAAATGAAATAATTTGAAATTGGCCACATGTATTTATGTAAACATTGTCCAAAATCTTCCCTTATCTAGTAATTTGTGGTTTGATGCATACTCAAGTTAGTCACTTATACATATTTATACACATTTCTGAATACCAGAATTGAGAATGAAATGAGGGCATCCTAAGTTGAGTGAAGCATAAGTCTGAGATGAGTGAAAGGTTAGCATAGATTTAGGAAAGTCTCTGAATTTGGCCCTTAATCTCTTACTGGCAGCAGGCATAATAGGTAAGACCTGAAATCGAAAATTCTAGAACACACCACACAACGGAGTGCCAATGAGTAAAAATAATCATTTTCTGGTAAAAATAATGTTTAGAGACGCTGTTTCTAGGCTAATAATTTTGGGTATTATGTTTATTAACATGAGTGTAAAAATTGCACACTCACTTATCACATCACACATCAAGTATGTGTTTTACCACATTTAATCTTTTTCTATGTTTATGTCTTTCACTGTTTCTGATTGAAACTGAGGCTACTTTCTTTTGTTTCAGTTTATTCGCTTCCGGAGTCCAATATGGGGCCCACTCGCCCAGCGAGGCCAAATCCGGCTACCCCTATTTCGGGGCCATGGAGATGTGTTCCAGCCGCGTACATTAGGGGGGGGGGGATAGGGGGTTCTAGTTCCAATTAAGTGCTTTAAACTTTACATTAATAGTAGCTATTTTTAACAGAATTCGTTACAGTGCCGGTAACTCGTATTTGTTATGAATTTAACAAACCGTAAATAACGCTTTGAACATCTTCAAGGCCTTTGTGTAATGAATATAGTAAGGTAGGCGTTTGTAAAGTGTAAATAAGTGTAAATAAGCCTTTTATTGGTACTATGTGTATACGGAGCTGTAGTAGAAGTTATAATTTATATTTTATTCGGTTGTCTTTGCTTGAAAACAACATTAGTGTGTTCGTATATTGTAAAAAAATATGTACATAAATTTTCTCATGCAATAAATAAAACAATTGTTTAAAGAAATCCGTTGCTTTTTATTATCCCTATAAATTGTTTTGTAATAAAGTGTGATTTATTGTTATAGTGTTTCAATTGCTGTAAAAAATGTTAGATGAAAGTCGAAATTCACAGTCCAAACCTGATGCTAATGTGAAGCGAATTATTGTAATAAAAAAGTAAATTATTGAAAATTCTTTGTGAAATATCCTTGGAAATAAAATGATAAATCGATACATTTACTAAATTCTTGCGTTTCAAAATCTCCATAAAAAAATTGGTTACAGAACAGTAGTGAGAACTTAAATGGTCCTTTCATCAGATTGCTCATGTTTTGTTTTGAAGGTAAGTATATTTTTTGTTGAAAATTATATGTAAGAGATTTCCCATGTACCAGAAAACTTCTATTATATTCTAAAGACGGGCCTATATTCTACCGCCATTCATAGAAGCAAATAAAACAATATTTTCTTTTTGTATTTCCAGAGACCCTAGTCAAACTTATTGTTAGCCTATCAAAGAATAATGAGTGATAATTTTGTTTCATTAGTAAAATAGAGAATTGTGAGCTCATTGAATAAAATGGAAGATTTTCACAGCAATGTCAAAATTAAATCAAAGTACTTAATCCCATATTTTTTTAGAGTTTTAAATATTGCAAACATACGAGGTTTGATCAAAATATTTATTATTATTATATTAAATTCCATTTTAACGCAAAATACCAGACAATCTTTCTGATCCGACATTTCGTCACATAAAAAATCGCCAAAAACACTGAGGTAAGTCTAGCTCATTCGATTGCTAAACACAAACAAAGCCTGGCAAGTACGTCACTGACGATGACGGTGTTACCAATAGACAAAAAAAATCAACTCGATGGGAATGATACAAAACGCGCAATTTGAAAATTCCCGTTACTTTTTAGTCAAACCTCGTATATTACATTATAGTGTTTCATCTAGTACAGTCCGTACGATATTTATTGAGACAAAATTCCAAGAATACCCCTGTGCCACTTTCATGGCATTAAACGCATTCGACACCCGTTATAGAAAGACGTTGGTGGCGTGGCGTTCACCGTAGCAGCTTTCAGTGCATATTGTCTTTTGCAGTTCTTTCGAATGGTATAATGGTTTCCTATAGGCCTATCTCCTCTGGTTTTTAATGTTTTTCTGTTTTTCGTGTAGTCAACGGATATGGCATAATTTCTTGCAAGGATGGCTGTGAAATTTTTAGTGGAACTTCAAAACAAGCACCTAATCTGTCAATCTAAATTTATTATTTATTCATGGAGAGTGTCACAAAATAATAAATATTAAATATATAAATGATTTTAACGCGAACACAAGAAGATCCACAGATTTTACGCAAAATCGAAACGAAGGCATTTTTAATAGAAACAATCGACACTTTTGGACATCAAAAAAATCCACATATCCGCGAAAGAAATTTTCAACATAAGTTTAATGTCAACGTATTTTGATTAGTGAAAGACTAATCAGGTGAGGTACTTTATTTACGAGTACAATTTAAATACACAAAGATACCTCCATATTTTGATACCAGATACCAGGATATACCAGTAGATCAACTAAGAAGCTGCTGGTATCAGCTAGACGGTGCTCCACCTTATTGTGGAAACAAGTATCCCGCCAATTAAATGAAATGTTGACAGACAGACAGGTGGATTAGACGTCTAAGATCCTGGGATTGACCATCAAGATCTCCAGATCTGTCACCACCACACTTTTATAACGAGCGTTCAAATAAAAACGTGGTCGAAGTTGGCTCTGACACATTGGACGTAGGGAGTAGCTTATAGCGACCAACGTAACCTNAAGTCGAAATTCACAGTCCAAACCTGATGCTAATGTGAAGCGAATTATTGGCAATAAAAAAGTAAATTATTGAAAATTCTTTGTGAAATATCCTTGGAAATAAAATGATAAATCGATACATTTACTAAATTCTTGCGTTTCAAAATCTCCGTAAAAAATTGGTTACAAAACAGAAGTGAGAACCCAAATGGTCCTTTCATCAGATTGCTCATAGGTATTTTGTTTTGAAGGTAAGTATATCTTTGTTGAAAATTATATGTAAAAAAGTCAAATAAAATGTTGGATGCAATTTTGAAGGTTCTGTGATAAAAATTACATTATTACTCACTGTTCGTGTTTTAAATCTCTGTTTTAGTAATGTTACAAAAGTTTGCAACTATAATTAATTTTTTAGATATAAAGTTTGCTGAGAAATATTTACGTTCCTTTGTTATTCCGTACAAATCCTTTTATCTCAAGTATTACTAATTATATTAATCAAGTAAAGAAAACTTTATGCAACCCTAAATATTGCTGGGTACTGATTACGATGTTTTTATAAACCATTAAATATATTAAAAAGATTTTATCAACTGTATTTTTTATTCCAATAAATATATCACAGCTTCCTAGTATTTTTTAATTAATCTAGTTTTTTAAAAAATATTCCAAAAAATCATCTGTTGTGGATAATTTATTGTTTATAACAATGTACATGGGATTTAGGAAAAATGTATATGTTTGAAATCAATTTCGTTTTTCAAATGTATTCCCTCCTTGCTGTCAGCTGATTGCGACGTTGCTACATTAATCCTCAAGTCAGACAGAAATGCAATTATTGGTTTCTGTTTCTAATTAATACAACCGTACTATGTTCAAATCTTTCACTAGTTTTACATCAAAAATAAGATAATACTGTGTACTATCTATGGAAAAGTTTTGTTTCACAATTTCTACATTTTTTTTCTCAGTTATGGGCAAAAAAGAGCCACACCGTCCATCTTCGCCATATAAACCTATGTAAAAATGAACAACTTTCAACAACAATATCTCAAAATCTGGATTCAAAAAAAATTTCAAAAAAATATGACGCTCAGAGTGAGCACTGGGTAATACGCTATATAAATTTCAAGTACATCTGTGCATTTGACTAAACCCGATATGCCTCCTTAATCCCATATTTTTTTAAAAGTTTTAAAATATTGTTTTAAATATTGGAAACATACGAGGTTTGATCAAAAAGAAACGGGAATTCTTAATTTTCTCAGAAAATATTTATTTAATTCCGTTTTTAACATAAAATACCAGACAAACTCTCTGATCCGACATTTCGTCACGCAAAAAATCACCAACAAACATAGGTGAGTCTTGCTCAATCGATTGCTATAGACAAGTTAAGCGTAGCAGGTACGTCACTGACGGTGCTACCAATAGACAAAAAAAATCAACTCGATGGGCATGATACAAAACGCGGAGTTTGAAAATTCCCGTTACTTTTGGTGAAACCCCGTATATTCCGCTATATTGTTTCATCTAGTACATTCCGTACGATATTTATTGAGATAAAATTCCAAGAGTCCCCTGCGTCACTTTCTTGGAATTAATCGCATTCGACACCCGTTATACACAGATAAATATAAAGATTATATAAAGATATTGGCGGCCGTGCGTTTACTGCATCAGCTTTCAGTGCATATTGTCTTTTGCAGTTAAATGCATGTTCTTTCGAATGGTGTAATGGTTCCCTATAGGCCTATCTCCTCTGATTTTTAAGGGTTTACTGTTTCTCGTGCAGTCAACGGATATCGCATAATTTTTTGCAAGGATGGCTGTGTCTATTAAAAATACTTTATTTAATAGAAAATCCACGTCATCAGCGAAATCAATTTTCAACAGAACTTTAGTGTCAACGTATTTTGCTTAGTTAAAACAATCAGGTGAGGTAGTTTATTTACGTGTACAATTTAAATACACAAAGATACCTCCATATTTTGAGAACCGTTGTAACAGATTTCTTAGAGGAACTACCCCTAGATCAACTAAGAAGTTGCTGGTATCAGCTAGACGGTGTTCCACCTTATTGTGGAAACGAAGTATCCCGCCAATTAAATGAAATGTTTGATAGACAGACAGGTGGATTAGACGTCTAAGACCCTGGGATTGACCATCAAGATCTCCAGATCTGTCACCACCACACTTTTATAACGAGCGTTCAAATAAAAACGTGGTCGAAGTTGGCTCTAACACATTGGACGTAGGGAGTAGCTTATAGCGACCAACGACCAACTTAACCTCATTTCTCAACAAGCTGTATAGCAGCTGTCAGTTTCAATAACGTTAATGACTATATAACTTTATTTTAAAGAATAATCGTGATAACAATAACAAACAATTAAAGGGAAAGCGGAAAGTGTCCCCCTCCTTGTTATAACAATAAATTAAAGCAGCTGCTGAAAGTGTCCCCCTCCTTGTTCCAAGCACTTTTCACACCTGTTCCTCAAAGAATTAAAGACATTTTCTAAGATGCTCGGGGTATTGTTAATTTCACGAATCTTGTCTATAAGTCGAGCCTGCAGATGGTTTAAATCAGGAATAGGCAGTTCAAAAATAGTGTTTTTAAGGTAAGGCCACAAAAAGAAATCACACGGCGTAATATCACATGACCTCGGTGGAAATTCATGTTCAGCATTGAGACTTATTAGTCGATTTTGGAAAACTTCCCTCAACATATTCATCGTCTCGCCTGCCGTATGTGCCCTTGCGCCATCTTGTTGAAAGTAAAAGTTTGTAATTTCGTTTTCTTCCAGCTGGTTAACAAAAGGAGCGATAATTTC